CTAACGAAACAATTCCACAGTCCTCCTAACTAAATCATTCTAAAACATAACAGCCTTCATTTGGAGGATATTTTCATCCTATTTAATCTTAATCTTTGCCACCTAAAGCCTATTTCCTTTTTAAAACATCTCTGTCTGCACATTCATGGAGAAAATATTGGTCATTATTCCTCAAATAACTGAAAAACAGTCACTAAATTAGTGAGGCTTTGTTGCTCTTTTTTCAGATAAGCAGACCTCATTCTTCAAGCTCATTTTGTGTGCCTTTCACTCTCTATTTTCTAATACAAGGTTATTTTGCATGATACGTTTCCAAATTCCTCACATCCCACTGGTCATACAACCCCTCCTGAGAGGAAAAAAGCATTTCAGAAACTACTTGCGAAACGCTATTATATTTTTTGTATGTGCTTTTTACATGACTTTGCTTAAATTAAAATGGCAATTATAGGGAACAGTATTTAAGCAGTTTCATGTACAACAAGAGGTGGGTACAAATAAACTCATTTAGGCTAAAAAAACCAGATTAAGAAATCCTAGAGCAAATACTGTTTTCAAGAATGTTCCCTAGGAAAGCTTATGAGATTAGGAATTCTATTGAAACAATAAAAATATGAGTCCTCAGAGAAGTTAATTGAGCTGAGCTGAAAATGTTGGGTTGGACACATTTTGGTATCACTTTAAAATAAAAAGATATTATGACTTGTTATATAGTAACATGACTAAAAGGCTTGTCTTCTTTGGCACTATTACCTCTTCAACAGGAGAGCCATGACTAGCTGATTAATATTCAGTCTGCAGTTCTTATGACCAGCTAAAATGCCCATGGTAAGTCAGGACAGTCTTTAAAGGAGTCACGGGATGTTTCATCAGAAAGAACCAGTTAATATTATGGATGCCCATTAGGTACAGGGGTCTGAATTAAGCTCTCCAGAAAATTATATAGGAATAGGATATTCAATCCCTGTCTTCAAGGTATTAACTCTCAACTTAAAGAGCTGAGGCAACAAAATGCAAGTGGCAGAATCACATGCAACAAAATGATAAAGAAGACTTCCCAACAGCCTTAACATGCATTACTGACTTTGCACAGGAAGGGCAGAGGGAAGGAGAAATGTCAAAGAGTTTCTAGAGTATTTGGAGGTGCTAGAAAGAGGTGAAGTCAGTACGGGAAGATAAGTTTTGAGTGACGGTGTTAAAGGCTATTTTCTTGTCCTAATAGAATCTGGAAGGTCACCTCTGAAAGTAATGAAATCCTCTCTGCACTGCAATAAGATTGTTCAATTTTTAATTCAAGGAAAATCCCAAAGCAAATGGCACATAAAATACTGGGGCTTGGGGGTGGTAGTGATAAAATTATCATCAAAATTTAAAGACCTGTCAATCTAAGCAGTGCACTTGGATCCATTTTTAAATAAGTTATATTGTTTTTAAATGACAGATGCCAATTTTACCCTGCACATTCCTGCAGTCTAATTCACAATACACCTCCAAATAACCTAACGGCAATTATTTTAGGTGCTGCTTTATCAATCATGCCGTTTGCTCTCTTTTTCTATTTTTGTTGCATAGACATGAAGGAATTTTAATTTACTTCATATTTTTGCTAACAACAAAGAGAAATAAGATGCACCAAAAAAGAATGAACCCACAGAACATCTGGTACTCCTCCCCTATTTAAAAATAATATTTAATACAGGTGTTTTCATTCCAAACATTCTAGCACCTTCCATTTAATTTACAGTTAAAGTTTCCTCCCCTTAAACTCTATCGAAAGCCATAAACTGAATCTTTCATCTTATCATTGTGACAACATAGACTTTGAAATAGGCAATGTTTGCCATGTGACTTTAGGGTCAAGTATAGCACTAGAAGGGACCCTAAGAAATATTAGGGCTATTACCTTGCCTTCCAGTAGAGCAGAATCACATAGAGATAGATCATTTACTGTCCTGTTCGTGGAATTCCCCTTGAAAACTAATTTTAAGAGAATTTCTGTTAAAAATTAATAATAAGAAGCCCAGGGCCAAAGTGAGAGCAAACCACTGAAGCAAAATTTACAGTCCAAAAAGTCTTCTGTACACCATACTTCAGGACAGAAATTAACATAGACAGCTTAATTCAACAAATGTTTCTTGAGAACTTATTAAGTACTGGCTCCTTTACAAGGTATATCTCTGATAATGTGGGCATTTGGCCACATTGAGTTTTTGCAACTTATAAATTTACATGGGTTGAATGTATTGAACTATTTAGATGTCTGACTGATGAAGTAACCTAACTCATAATATAATATGATTTGCAGTACAACTACGTAAGGTTAATATCCAAACACAACTTCTGCCATAGTCTTATAATTTAATTTGCTATGCAGTGATATTGATACGACACAATTATTATACCTGGGAGAGAACGGTAATTCATTTGAAGAAGAATTTAAGAGCAAGTCTTCCTAGACAACTTCTTTTTTGGAAACTCAGAGCCACAAAGTTTGGTGAACACAGAATCATGACTAATCTCACACATTTGGTTAAATGCGTAACTGACTGTTGCTCATTCAGACTTAACGAGCGATGCTATGACAAAGAGAATGACATTCTGACACAGCAGCACGTGATAACATCTGTTGTTCAAACATGACACAGTGTGAGCAAATCATTTCCTTCGAGAAAGGCGATGTCTTCAAAGTTAAAACTACATTGAAGATTCAACAAATATTTGAAAGGTAAGTGTGCAGAATTTTGATCTATAAAAGATGAGTCTGGGGCAGGATAAGATGTCTAAATGACCTGACATGCTTTGAGGTCCTGCCAAAAAGTAACATTACTAATACAAGATCTGTTATATTAGTTCCCTTTCAGTAAAACAATGCCAAGTGGCTTTTTTGGTGGCATTTGTAAATGGAAAACAGCAAGTTTTTGCCCAACCCAATTATCTCCAGATGCTCTAATTCCAAAAGCACCACATTATTAAGTTCGAGGAGAATTCAGTCTTAGTTTAAAAAATTACTTGAATTTTGTCAATTTTTAATTAATGTACAATTATACTTTTGGCATACTTAGCAATTTTAACATCTTTGAAACCAATAGGGCATATTTCAAACACAAACACCAGTTGCAAAAGATACCACTATAGGGAAACCAATAAGCAAGCCACAGATGAAATTTAAAATCCTACAGAAACTTCAAGAGGCTGCTAAATCTCACATCTCCCTGGTAGTCTCTCTAGTCTTCCCCACTAGAAGAGCTTGCTCCTTATCTTCTGCCACAACTCTTACAGCCCTGGTTTGCATCATTCAAAACCTCTGCAAAACCTCTGTCTTACACTGTAGTTATACTTATTCACTGTAGTATATTACTGGTGGGGTGATTTTATCCCGCAGAGGGCATTCTGCAATGTTGAGAGGCATATTTGGTTGTACCAGGTGGGGGTTAGGGAGGGGCTAGGGGCATCCAGTGGGCAGAGGCCAGGAATGCTGCTCAACATTCTACAGTGCCCAGCACAGTAGCCCACAACAAAGAAGAGCCAGCCTTAAACGTCGACAGT